ATATTTACAAACATACACCCTAAAACCTTGTTCTAATTACAACCCTGAGAGAATGTATAATGTTGCAGAGACAGCAAAGTATCAGAATCAGTATAGTCTGGGGTCAAATCCTAGGACCTGACATGCACACTTGAGATGCCTCAGTTTTTTCTTCTTTAACATCCCTAAACTCACAGCACTAAGTTAATAATAGCTTCTATGGTTGTAATACTTAAATGGGTACAATGTATATGAAGTACCTTGAACAGGGGCCAAAGCACCAAAGCATAGTAAATGTTACCTCACTAGTATTGTTTTTATTATGATTGTTATTGTGTCTTTTGCATTTCTCCTTGCACCTTAGTTTTAACACCAGGGGGCAGCAATGCCCTCTCAACCAATTTAAATGGTTAAAATTAGTGGGAGAGATGAGAACAATGAAGACTCACCCTATAGGAAGATAAGCATAAGTCACCAGAAAAGCAGGTGAACTGGGAGGTGGGGGTGGGGGAGAGATGGTGGATAAAATGCAGAAAGAAAAAACAAGGAAAGAGAGAAGGAAGGAGGAAGAGAAAGGACAGAGATGGAGAGAAAGGTATAGGGAGGTTTAGAAATAATTTGATATTTCAAAAGAAAATACTGAAATAGTCATTATGAGGGGAAAACCAGATATTTATTGTATTTTCTTCTACTTTCTATAGTATTTAGTGTTATTTTATTTTTAAATACATGTAGAGGAGTGGTGGTTATTATGTATTTTCTCCATTGACAGTTTTTAAGGATCTTAATTGGTTCTAAATGAGATTTATCGAAATGAGCTGCTGTCCAGAAAATGTCTACAAAACATAATACATTTATTGTTCATTTTTATTTTAAAATATATTTTATTGATTATGCTATTACAGTTGTTCCATTTCCCCCCTTCACTCCCCTCCACCCTGCACACCTTCTCCCACCCATGTTCCCCCCCTTTAGTTCATGTCCATGTGTCATACTTATGAGTTCTTTAGCTTCTACATTTCTGATACTATTCTTGCCCTCCCCCTGTCTATTTTCTACCAACCATCTATGCTACTTATTCTCTGTGTCTTTTCCCCCTCCTACTCCCCTGTTGCTAACCCTGCATGTAATCTCCATTTCTGGGGTTCTGTTCATGTTCTAGTTGTCTACTTAGTTTGTTTTTGTTTTAGGTGTGGTTGTTAATAATTGTGAGTTCGCTGTCATTTTACTGTACATGTTTTTTATCTTCTTTTTCTTAGATAAGTCCCTTTAATATTTCATAAAATAAGGGCTTGGTGATGATGAACTCCTTTAACTTGACCTTATCTGAGAAGAAGCACTTTATCTGCCCTTCCATTCTAAATGATAGCTTTGCTGGATAGAGCAATCTTGGATGTAGGTCCTTGCCTTTCATGACTTAGAGTACTTCTTTCCAGCCCCTTCTTGCCTGCAAGGTCTCTTTTGAGAAATGAGCTGACAGTCTGAAGGGAACTCCTTTGTAGGTAACTGCCTCCTTATCTCTTGCTGCTTTTAGGATTCTCTCCTTCATTTTAATCTTGGGTAATGTAATGATGATGTGCCTTGGTGTATTCCTCCTTGAGTCCAACTTTTTTGGGAGTCTCTGAGCTTCCTGGACTTCCTGGAAGTCTATTTCCTTTGCCAGATTGGAGAAGTTCTCCTTTATTATTTGTTCAAATAATTTTTCCACTTGTTGCTCTTCCTCTTCTCCTTCTGATACCCCTATAATTTGGATGTTGCAACATTTAAAGATGTCCTGGAGGTTCCTAAGCCTCTCCTCATTTTTTTGAATTCTTGTTTCTTCCTTCTTTTCTGTTTGATTGTTTCTTTCTTCCTTCTGGTCCACACTGCTGATTTGAGTCCCCATTTCTTTCCCATCATCATTGGTTCCCTGTACATTTTCCTTTACTTCACTTAGCATAGCCTTCATTTTTTCATCTAATTTGCGACCAAATTCAACCAATTCTGTGAGCATCCTGATAACCAGTGCTTTGAACTGTGTATCTGATAGGTTGGCTATCTCTTGGTTGCTTAGTTGTATTTTTTCTGGGTCTTTGATCTGTTCTTTCATTTGGGCCATTTTTTTTTTTGTCTTGACACTCCTGTTACGTAGTGAGGGGCAGGGCCTTAGGTGTTCACCAGGGTGGGCTAACCCAATCACTGTGTTGTGACACTGTATGTGGGGCAGGGGTCTGAGAGGGAACAATGGTGCTTGCTGTGCTCTCTGTTGATTTTCAGTCCCTTCCGCTGCTTCCCCCAAGCAAACTGGGCCCTTCTGGTGCCGATTCCCATGTGGGTGGGTTTGTATATGTTCTAAGACCCTGTGGGTCTCTCCAGTGAACTCTCCTGTGAGGCTGGGAGTCTCTCCCGGCACCTCAACTCCCACAGGTGTTTTCAATCGCTGTGTTGAGGCTTTATTTCCCCAGGATGGGACCCTGGGTTGCATGGCCTGTCTCGCTCCCCAGTTTCACCTGGTTTATCTGTGTGAATCCGCCAGTCCACTGGCTGCCTTATATGCCCAGCCCCTCCACAATCCGCCGCCTCACTGGGTCCACCCGCTGCCGCTTTGCGCACCCGGGATCCGCCAGCCACCGCTTTTTTTTTTTTTTTTTGCCGCAACCTCTCTCCATCCCCGCCACCCAACTCCGCCCCTTCTACCAGTCTGGATGAATGTGTCTAGTTTAACTCCTTGGTTGTCAGACTTCTGTACAGTTCAATTTTCTGTCAGTGCTGGTTGTTTGTTTTTGTTTCTAAAGTTTCGTTGTCCTTATTTTGATTGTGCGAGGCACAGTGTGTCTGCCTATGCCTCCATCTTGGCCGGAAGTCCATTTACTGTTCATTTTAATCAAACTATTAACCTCAAAACTATAAAAAATATGGCTTTTGTCCTCTGTGTAAAATATTCCTCTACAGAAAGACAGCAGTATATTAATAAACCTATTATTCTATAACAAATACCTCAAAAGTGAATGGCTTAAAATGATAGACACTTACTATCTTTTATTTTCTGAAGACCAGGAATCCTAGAGTGCTCACCTGGGTCTGTGGGCCCAGGGTCTGCATTAGGTTTCATGTAGAAACTGGAGCTGCTGTCATGTGCAGGTTAGACTGAGCCTGGGAGGATCCACCTCGTTTAGTGGCAAAATGCCTCAGTTCTTCCGTTGTTGGCTGGACACCCTGATTCCTTTGCACATGAATTCCTCCCTGAGGTGTCTTGACTGGCTCCTCAATGTGGCAGCTGACCTCCTTCCTACAGGGTGAGTGAGCCAAGAGAGACTGAAGAAGGAGGCCCTCCATACCTTTTATGACCTAGACTCAGAAGTCATATTCTGCAACTGCCACCATATTTGTTCAAAGTGAGTCATATAGAAAATAACTAGACCCAATTTTTAGGAATTATACACATATAATTGGAGTTCTCACATGGAGAAGTCATAGGCTGTCTGGCCTCTCAGTTGGCCCTGCACCCTTCACATGGTCTCTGGGTCTTGATTCTTTCACCTACAGAAACAGAGCAGGCCATGGGTCCACATGCCCCTTCAGTTCTAAGGTGGCTGCTTCTGCCCCTTCTTTTGTGACATCAGCAACACAGTCTCTGTCTTTTTCATCTCTGTTCTTACACAACGGCTTTCAAACTTTTTAGACCCATTGTGAGAAGTACATTTTACACTGAATTTACACACACCCATAGGCATGTGTATGAGGGCATGTGTGTAACAGAAATGAAAGTTCCACAAAACAACACACTTACTTGCGTGATGTGTTCTCATTCCCCCCACCCCATTCCATGTTAATTTATTTTAAAAATTCAAGCTCTACTGGCCAAGGTCAAAATCTACTACATTGGTTTCACAATCCATTAATGGCTTCAGCATTCTTTGTGTTACCATACTAACTCTGCCATTCTTCCCTGTCACTTTTCCATTGGTCCTAGAATAGAAATGTTGAAGAGCAAGCCAAACTTCACCTTCCAGTTTCTGGGAGGAACAAGAGCACCTTCTGAAGGTGGGTCAACCCTGAGAACATTCTAATTAGGCAGGAGCTAGTATCAGAGTTAGTTGTCAGGGCCAGTAGGGCACCGTGTTTTAGCTTTAAAAGGTGGCCCTGCGACTCACTAAACTGTGTGACCCTGAGCAGTCCCTTAACCTCTCAGTTCACCCTTCCTCTATAAAACTGAAATAATGAACATTCCTTGCCTATCTCATGAAGTTGTGACTAGGCTCAACATTAGATAATTAGGTACAAAGAATTTATTGACACGATTTTTAATCCTTACAACAACCCTATAAGAGATACAGAGTGTCACCTGTGTTTGATAGAGGAGATTGAGGATTACAGAATTCATGTAGGCAACATCTTAAAGTTGGCAAGTGGCAGAACTAGAATCCAAGCCAGTTCTGACAGCAAACCGCTCACGCAAGACGGAAAGGTAAGCTATTTTCATTTGACATTAAGTGGTGACCATCGGATGTATTAAACTATGTGGATCCATCCTGAATCACCAGGACATCATTAGAAACTGGCCACGTTTACTGATCCCAGCTGACCGTAAGCACGAACACAAGGCATATCACGTGGCGTTTTGAGCTTTAGCCTTTAAAACTGTCCGGGCCCCGACGGGCAGGTGAACACGAACTGCCGCACTGGCGCTGCTCAGGCGTCACAATGAGAAATAGCTCACAGTGAGCAAGTCGTAACTGAGAACTTTCCCTTAAGTGAGGCCCCAGATGGTCCCTAACCCAAATCCCCAAGTTGCTTCGGCATAACCTCCTGACCCTTAAAAGCGTAGTTTTTAGGGAAAGGACTAGTTTACAGTCCTCTTGCGCTAGAGGACTTTGTTCCTTGAGGGTGTGCGGGTCTTCGGCTGTGTAGCCCAAAGGTACCTGCCCCAAGGGGACCCGCGGGACTCGTGTCCCGGGCCTGTCGCCCCGGAGCCTTCGCAGGCGGGACCCCAGCACAAAGCCCTTTATTGAAGCCGCGGCTCCTCACGCCTGCAGGAAGGAGGAGAGTGCCGCGGCGCGGGCCGCGGTGCGCGCGCGGCCTTGTGCACCGAGTTTGCGGCGAGCTCTGCCCTGGGTCCTCTGGGAATCCCGGCGGTCCACAGACTCCGAGTGCTGGTAAGCAGGCCCTGGCGCCCCCTGCGCCCCCTTTGGGACTCGCTCCCCCTTTGGCACTCGCTCCGGGGGCCCTGGTGGAGCGGCCCGCCCTCGGGTAGTGGTAGGAGCTGGGCGCGGGCTCGGGAAGGAGGTGCGCGGGGAGGGCGGGGGGTGCTCGGGCAGGACCCGCCGCTGGGCTGCGGGCCCCGCGGCAACCCAGACCTCCGCCCGCTCCGAGGAGCTGGCTCCCGGGGGGAGGTGCAAAAGGCGCCGGTGCGCGGGGCTTGCCTGAGAGACCTGTACGTGGGGGAGGAAGTAGGGTCGTTGCTTACAATTAGACACTTTTTAAGTTAGGTGTTTCAAAGAGGGAAAACCTGGGAAAGGTTGCTTTTTTTTTCCTTTTTTTTTTTTTGAAGGGTGGGTCGGGGTCCCGGGAACTTCCAGTGCCGCACAGTCCCGCGTCACTTAACCCCGCCGCAGTCCGCTGCAGTCGGGGCGGTGCGGGGTTGGAGCCGGTTTGGCCGCTCGGGCAGGGACGGGGGGAAACCCTGCAGCTAACCTGGCATTTTCTCCTCGCAAGACCAGAAGAAGCGGTAAAACGACTTCCTGGAAAATAAAAGAGAACACAGTTCTACCTTAGCAGTTCAGCTTCACCGAACATTTTGTTAGGGATGGCCTGGCATTCAGAAATACTTTCTCTGAATCTTTTTATTATTTGAACATTAAAAAATATTCAAACGAAAGCCATTGATTAGGTGTGTTGCAACCATTTCAGGCAAAGTGAACAGAGTATCCGCATCCTTATTACAAAAGGCACCTGCGTTGGGAAATTAGACTGTAACAATTCACCATGGCTTATGGCTTGCCAAGGAAGAACTCAGTGAAAACCATTCTGCGGGGCAGTTATCAAGTGTAAGTATTTTTATTCTGGTATGACTTGACGTACGTAGTGTCCTTGCTAAAATAAAAGTACTGGACACCCTTGTGTTCCTCGTGAGGTAGATACTAGACTGCATGAGACATTTTCAGGTGTCTTGATGCTGTGTTTTGTTTTTTAAGCCTCAGTCCTCTTCAAAGGAATTTATAAATCATCTTACTTGGTCTTTACAACAAAAGGGCACTTAAAAAAAAAGGGGAAGGGAGGGAGAAAGAAAGGGAGAGAAACATCAATGTGTGGTTGCCTCTCACACATCCCCTCCTAGGGACCTGGCTGGCAACCCAGGCCTCTGCCCTGACTGGGAATAGAACCTGTGACCCTCTGGTTCGCAGGTTGGTGCTCAATCCACTGAGCTACAGCAGCCAGGGCCAAAAGTGCACTTTCAAATGAGAAAACTGAGATTTGAAAAAATGGTTTGATCAAAGACAGTTGTGTAGTAAAGTGAAGTCTCCTTACTCTAAAGCGACACTTTGTACTATTGCCCACTGCCTTAAAATACCTCTGTAGATAGTGCAAATCTGTCTAAAAATGCCTTGGTGTCAGGTATATCTTAACAAGAGCACTTAATTAACTGGTGTTGAAGGGTCAGTTTTTCATCCTGGATACTTTGGCAGGCAATGCCAAATGATCTCTGCAAAACAAGTGCCTTCTCTACCCTTCTCACAAGAAAGTAGTTTATATCATACTATTTATAAGAGCAACTGAATTAAGAGGACAGAATGGTAGTAGCACTCTTTGGAGTTCATTTGCTAAAGCACCTTGTGCTTTTTGTTTTATTATTTTTAGAAGGTTATTAAAAACACTAAACACATACAACTGGCATAGAAGCATTTGGAAGGAAAATAAAAATGTTATTTCTCATGTCCCCATTCCTACCCCACACCCCAGTCATACTCAGGGGTAAAATGTTTTATATATTTTTATAGAATTTGTGTATTATACAAGATGCACATATACGTATGAGGTCTGCCCGGAAAAGGTCCAGCCATTGTTAGTATAACGAGAACAGTTAGCACAACATGGATGTAACCTGGCAGCCAAGGAGAGTGGACTGGAATGCATATAGGACAATGACGCCTCAGTCCTCTTCAAAGTAGGCACCTTGGGGCCTCACACAGGTTTCCTAATCTCCTTGTTTTTTGTATCTTGTATCTTTAATAAATGTCTCTGTTTTTCATATTACCTGACTGGATACCTCCCGGACAGACCTCATGCACACTCACATGCACGGTTTCACACATGGGTTTATGCTGAAGTTTGCTCCCTATCCCATTACATCTGGTAAAGCCTAGTGATTAAGGAAGGGCACAGATTCTAAAGTTTGATGTTCTTTGTTCAAAACTCCAACTCAAGACCAACAGCCTTGTGACCTTGGGCAAGTTGTTCTCACCTCTTGTTTCCTGGTCTTTAAAATGAAGATAATAACTGCACATGCCTACTGAATAGGGTTACTTTGGTAATTAAATGAGTTCATATGTGTAAACTGATTTAAATAATGCTTAGCGTATAGTAAGTGCTAGATAAATATTAGCTGTTTTATTGCTCTTCTTTCCAAATCAACATATAAGGATAAACTTCATTCTTTCATTACAAGTATGTGCCACAATTTGTTAACCAAGCTCTTTGATAGACACCAAGGCTGTTTTCTTTGGGGTTTTCTGAACAAACAGTGCTTCAGTAAGCATCTCATAAATAGCTTAGTGCACTTGTTTAAGCACACCTCTAGTAATTGTAGAATTCAAGTCAATCCTTAAAGCTAGAAGGAAAAGTAGTAAGGAGGCTGGAGGTAGAAAACTAAAGGATGGATGGCATGTGTGTACTGCCCTCACTGCCCTCACTTATGCCAGAGCAGGTCTTCCCCTTCCTCATGCAGATGAGCTTATAGTGACTGTAGATGAGAAACATCTCATTGCTTTTTTTAGCTGATATTTTAAATTTCCTAGTTAGGATACCTAAAACAATTCATTTAAAGTTCGTAGTGATTATTTTAAGTGTTATAGTTTGGTATTTCATCTCTCTTCAGTTTTCTAAGGATTCTCTTAGTACTAGTGCTTATAAATAAATATACCTAGGCTAAGTACCAACACTGGTTCTTAATTAAGTTGGGGATCTCAATTCCCTTGTCTACACCTACATAGTGGCTGTAAAGGTTAAAATAAGATCACACACTCAAAGTCTTAGTGTGTGCCAATCACCCTCCTCAGGGCATGCTTATTTGCTTTGTTCCTTCTCCCCTAATGTGACCTTATTTTTGATCAGCCATAAAAGACTACATCATTTTAAAAGACATGGGGAGATTCCATTGATGTCAGGGAGGCTGTATTGTGAACAAAAGTTCCTGTCATTAAAGCTTACGGTAATTTTTCAATATATCATTACATTAGTTAATATAAAGCTCCTTCTCCTGGCTAGACTAGTAATTCTAGAAAATCCTGAATACCCCACACCCATAAACCAAAATGTATAGTAGAAAACAGAACTTGAGAATTAGATGTCTTCTGTATCCCATAATAGATGCTTAATAAGTATTTGTTGAGAGAAATAATGAATTTTTACTCCAGAGAGCAACCGTGGGATCTTGCACAGCTTACAGAGATCTGGTACACCAACCTGGCCAAAATCAAGTTCCCATTCTTGCAAGAAATTACATTTGGTAGTCCTGTACACCTCAAAAGGTGTAAAATCAGAAAGGATGGTCTGCTTCCTACTGCAGAAGGTATGTTCAATTAGAACTACTTTAATAAACTGTAAATTTTATATCTTTTGCTCATTATCAGCTAAATGTTTAAATATGTTCATTTTCTTGTTTATATTCAAGAATATGAATTTTGCTATGTAATAAATATTCAGTTTTTTCCAAGTTACACCTTGAGAAAATATCTGTTGGATTGCTTCATGTATTTTATTTTTTAGACATCAAACTGGAAAGGGAAAGTGAAGTGAAACATCTGAATAATCTGAAACATCAGGAAAATATAGCTGAGGAAATTCAATTTGCCCTAAGGGGAAAGCAAGGTGGTTTGAGAAGACCTCTTCCCCCTAAGTGACAGTCTCCTCAGAATCCAGTCTGTGCTCTGTGCCTTCCAGTCTGGAGGGATGAAGGTCTGCAGCCTGTCTCTGTGTGAGTTTCCCTGCAGGCATGTGAATGCTGCTGGGGGATGAGCCAGCTCCAATGGCTGAGTGGACAGCTCTGACAGGCCTTCTGGTCCCTGCCACCCACCTGTTCCATTGTGTCACAAGCAATAACGCAGTAAGTAGATGAAAAATGCATCTGGATGGAGTCATTGGTGCTATTCATTTTGATTTTTGTGAAATGGCACTAAGGGAAGAGAAAACTCCTTGTCAGAGACATTGTTTTGAAGAACATTTAAAATTTGCCTCTCTGAGATCCTAAGGAGGCATCAAGACAGAGAGAGAGAAATTCTTTTTTAAAAATTATATTTTATTGATTGTACTATTATAGTTGTCCTGATTTCCCCCCCTTTCCCCTAACCCACCCAGCACTGCCCATTCCCTCAGCCCATCCCCACACTATTGTTCATGTCCATGGGTCATGTGTATAAATTTTGTGGCTGCTCCATTTCCTACACTGTACTTTACATCCCCATGGCTATTCTGTAACTACCTCTTTGTACTTCTTAATCCCCTCACCTCTTCACCTATTCCCTACATGCCATCTTATCTGACAACCATCAAAATGCTCTGCATATCCATGATTCTGACTCTGTTCTTCTTGTTTCCTTAGCTTGTTTTTAGATTCAATTGTTAATAGATATGCATTTATTGCTATTTTATGGTTCATAGTTTTTATCTTCTTTTTCTTAAATAAGTCCCTTTAACATTTCATATCATAATGGTTTGATGATGATGAACTCCTTTAGTTTTTTTCTTGTCTTGGAAGCTCTTTATCTCCCTTCAATTGTAAGTGATATCTTTGCTGGGTAGAGCGATCTTAGCTGTAGGTCTCTGCTTTTCATGATTTTGAATATTTCTTGCCAGTCACTTCTAGCCAGCAAATTTTCTTTTGAGAAATCATCTGATAGCCTTATGGGAACTCCCCTGTTGGTAACTAATTGCTTTTCTCTTGCTGCCTTTAAGATTTTTGCTTTATCTTTAGTCTTTGGTATTTTAATTATGATGTATCTTGAAGTGGTCCTCTTTGGATTCACCTTGTTTGAGACTGCTGAACTTGGATGTCTATTTCCTTCAGTAAATTAGGGAGGTTTTCTCTCATTATTTTTTCAAATAGATTTCTAATTTCGTGTTCTCTCTCTTCTCCTCTGGCACCCCTATGATGTGGGTGTTGGAACGTTTGAAGTTGCCCAGAGGATGCTTACTCTATCCTTGTTTTGGGGAATTCTTTTTTCTTGTTGTTCTGATTGGTTGTTTTTTGCTTTCTATGTTCCAAATCATTGATTTGATTCTCTGGTTCATCTGCTCTACTGTTGTTTCCCGGAAAATGATTCTTTGTTTCAATTAGTGTATTCTTCATTTTTGACTAGATCTTTTTTATGCTGTTGAAGTGCTAAGTTCCTTGAGCATCCTTATAACCAGTGTTTGAACTCTGCATCTGATAGATTGCGTATCTCCATTTTGTTTAGCTCTTTTTCTGGGGTTTCAATCTATTCTTCCATTTGGGCTATGTTTCTTTGTCTCATTTTGGCAGCCTCCCTGTGTTTGTTTCTATGTATTAGGTAGAGCTGCTAATGTCTTGGTAGCATAGCCTAATGTAGTAGGTGTCCTGTGGGGTTCAGTGGCACAGCCTCCCCTATCACCCAAGGTGTGTACTCAAGGTGTGCCCTTCGTGTGGGCCAAGTATACCCTTTTGTAGTTGAGCCTTGGTTGCTGTTGGCAAGTCAATGGGAAGGATTTACCCAAGTCAGTTAGCTGCAAGGACTGTCTGTGACCTCTGACCCCCAACCTCCTCCCTCCATGGATGATTCACTGTGTGGGGGCAGGGTGGTGGTTCTCCAATGTGGTCTGTATCTGTTCTCTGGTTGTGCAGGCTCTGGTGTTTCCCTGATGATGCAGGCCAATGTCAGTCCCCACCTGTATTCTGCCCATAGCCACCCTGCATGTCTATAGAGCAATCTGAGATTGCTGCTTCTTGTGCTGGGCTTGGAGATTCCCAGGTGAAGCCAAGCTGTGAATCTAGGCTGGCTGCTTCTAGTGCCAGGCCTACAACCACTTAGCAAGAGTTACAGGGAGTGGGGGCTCACTGAAGCTGGCTGTAGTTTGGTTGAGAGGATTTAGGAAGTTGTGACATGTGAGCCAAGACCAGCTATTGGAAAAGTCACTGTTAACAGCTTGTGTGGGCCCATTAGTTGGGTGGCACAGCTTTAAGGATCTGTGGGGGAGGGTTCAGAAAAGGGACTATAGCTTCTAACTGCCTTTCTGTCTGGGAGAAAGCTGTCCCCCAGCTCTTGCCTTGATGCCAGACACTTCAGTTCCTCCCTGTTTGCCACTGGTGCCTGTCAAGCTGCTACCTTGGTGCTGGGGCTGAGAGGGAGTTGGTCAGAGTAAGTCAGTATGTGGATTCTTTAAGAGGAACTGCTTGGGACTTCAGAAGTTTCTTCCACAGATTCAATCCCCACTGGTTTTGGCAGCCAGAAGTTGTGGGGAATTAACTTCCTGGCACTGGAACTGTGGGGTGGGTGGCCTGGTGTGGGACTGGGCCTCCTCCCTCCTGAGATATCTCTTCCAATTTATTGACCACACATGGATGTAGGACGAACCCATTACATGTCTTCACCCCTCTTAATAGTCTGGATAAATGAAGTTTCTTTAATTCTGTAGTTGTCAGACTTCCATTCAACTCAATTGCTAATGATTGTGAGTTATAATTGTTTTATACCTTCGTCGTGATTTTGATGAGGTTGTGCGAAGAGGTGAGATGTGTATACTTTCACCACCAACTTGACCAAAAAGTCCTCTAAAATATCACGAGAAATTCTTTTAAAAATGGTAAGCTGTAAAAACTTTTGTTTGGTTAAGAAAAATTGTAGATTTCTTTTTAGTGGCTCCCCATTTCTCAATTTTTAGTGATATATCATTCTCATGTAGTACTTTAACAAGTAAAACTTGTTTATATTTTGTTCTAAAAATTGTCTTTTTCCTTCTACTCACCTTCATATTGTATCTCTGGGATGCCCTGGAGCATGTGGAACACATGTGTGTATGCGAAAGTGACATGAAAGTAATGAAGACCTATATGGAGGAAAACTCTTATTTGTACAGAGTAGCTGGAGAATGAGGAATGATTAACTAGAAAGTTTTGGATTTGCACGAATGAAGCGATTTTCCTAGAATTCAAATTCAGTAAAGCACACTTGAATATGAAAGTATATTTAAGCACCATTTAGTGTTTGTTAAATGATTCAGTAGGTATTTTAGGTGTTTCTGGTATCTTAACCTCATTATGAAAGGCACTATAGCATAATGTTTAAGAGCGTGTACTTTAGACCAGGCTGTCTGGTTTCTTATGTTATCACTTCGGGGCCTACCCTAATGCCTAACTCATGTAGGCACTCAATAAGCATTTATTATCCCTGGCTGGTGTGGCTCAGTGGATTGAGCACTGGACTGCAAACCAAAGGGTTGCCAGTTCACTTCCCAGTCAGGGCATGTGCCTGGGTTGTGAGCCAGGTCCCCAGTAGGGGGCATGTGAGAGGCAACCAAACATTGATATTTCTCTCCATCTCTCTTTATCTCTCCTTTCCCCTCTCTCTAAAAATAAATCTTTTAAAAAAGAGAAGCATTTATTGATTATTGATTGAACATTTCCATATGGTCAAAAGTTCATAATTGAAAGTACTCATGGAAATGGTTTGTATGTGTGGTGATGATGCAGGAAAGCATAGACACAAAAAGCTATCTTCTGTATGAGGAAGTCAACAGAGTATGCATCTATAAAGGAAAAACCAAGAAGTAGAAATACCTAAGTGTTACTAACAGACACAGGTAAATAATGAAATAGGTGAAAGATGAAACTGGTTGCCTCTGTGGAAGTGAAAATGAGTGGCAGGGGTAGATACACCTGCTGTCTTTAAAAACAAATTTTTATTTTATTCTTTAATGTACATTTACAGCTGATAAGTTTAAAAAAGAGAAACAAAATGAGTTCCACAGAAATTAAGAAAATTTCTCAAGGATATGCAATGAATCAGGGAAAGGTGGGGAAAGGAGACTAGACACAGACCTATTTATTAAAACCTAGAGTTTTCTTTCTACTGCTGTCTTATGTAGATGTAATTTTTAAAAATATATTTTATTGCTTATGCTATTACAGTTATACAATTTCCCCCCTTTATTCTCCTCCACCCTACACACCCCCTCCCATCCGCCTTCCCCCCATTTAGTTCATGTCCATGGGTTGTACATATAAGTTCTTTGGCTTCTACATTTCCTATACTATTCTTACCCTCCCCATGTCTATTTTCTACCTACCATTTATGCTTCTTATTCTCTTGTACCTTTTCCCCCCTTTCCCCACCCACTCCGCCACTTATAACCATCCATGTGATCTCCATTTCTGTGATTCTGTTCCTGTTCTAGTTTGCTTATTTTTCTTTTTTTAGGTTCAGTTGTTAATAGCTGTGAGTATGTTGTCATTGTAGTGTTCATATTTTTTATCTTCTTTTCCTTAGATAAGCCCCTTTAACATTTCATATAATAAGGGCTGGGTGATGATGAACTCCTTTAACTTAACCTTATCTGGGAAGCACTTGATCTGCCCTTCCATTCTAAATGATAGCTTTGCTGGGTAGAGTAATCTTGGATGTAGGTCCTTGCCTTTCATGACTTGGAATACTTCTTTCTAGTCCCTTCTTGCCTGTAAGATTTCTTTTGAGAAATCAGCTGATAGTCTAATGGGAACTCCTTTATAGGTAACTGTCTCCTTTTCTCTTGCTGCTTTTAAGATTGTCTCCTTATCTTTAATCTTGGGTAACTTAATTATGATGTGCCTTGGTGTGTGCTTCCTTGGGTCCAACTTCTCTGGGACTGTCTGAGCTTCCTGGGCTTTCTGGAAGTCTATTTCTTTCACCAGATTGGGGAAGTTCTCGTTCATTATTTGTTCAAATAAGTTTTCAACTTCTTGCTCTTGTTGTTCTCCTTCTGGCACCCCTATGATTAGGATGTTGGAATGTTTAAAATTGTCCCAGAGGTTCCTAAGCCTCTCCTCATTTTTCTGAATTCTTGTTTCTTCATTCTGTTCTAGTTGAATGTTAATTTCTTCCTTCTGCT